AAAAAAAAAAAAAAAACAACTCAGTTACATTATTAATAGATTCTTCTTGTGGTTTTAAGTATAATGTAGCCTTTGGGTGATGCTCCTCTAGATAAAAAAAAAAAAAAAAAAAAAGTTCTTTGGTCACAGAAAAACTGGCCCTTTTGAGGGGAAGGGTTTAATTGTTAATCAACCTTTGTGCTAGGACATATTGAAGGACAACAGGATAAGTATTTGAAGACATCAGTTGACCCCTTCAGTGTGTTTGCATAGACATTGCTAAAATATGGATTAGTTCATTAGCATCAGGAGGGATTTGTGAAGAAATGGAGGGTCTTAATCTCAGAATCTCTTTAGAGGTTTATATTTGGTTAGAATCCTTCAGTGAATACTTTTCCATCACCTCCTTGTAATAATATCCTAAAAACATCAATATTTAACAGTGATATCATTATCAATGAAAAAAATTATATAATAAATTATGAGTTAGGTAAGGAAACTTACAAACTTAGAAACAAACAACTCATATAGCCCCTCTAAATGCAGGAGTTTTACTGGAACCTGACTACCAATACGATCTGCCTCAAAACGTCTGGTAAAAACTGTTCCCATATTTTGTATTCCAATAAAAGCTTTCCGAGAAGGATCATGCACTGGAACAAATGCTGGCCACATACTGTATAGAATGCATAAAGAGATAATGATTCAATAAGATATACTTGACTTCTGAAATTAAAAGAAAATAACATGCGAACTTTGTTAAAAACAACTAGATCTGTTTAAAAAAAAAAAACAAAAAAGAAGCATGCAAACTTTGTTTACTGTCAACAACTCAGGGCAAAAGCATGGAAACCCTACGGCAAAGAAAAAAAAATAGCAAAAATATTGGTGGTAGTTGGAAAGATAAGAGATAGGGCCCATTCCTTGGGGAAATGGGAAAATCATGGGCTGACAAGCTTCAGAACATATGTTCGAGTCTGAAAGAGTGATGCAGATGATTATAAAAAGGCCCTACTGGAATCCTTAAAGAATAAACTAAGGGAAAGAATGCAGAATCTACAGAGTGCAGACTAGCAGATTGGCCAGACAGTCAGATTCAGCTACCCTACTTGTCCTGGCTAGAGTGTTCAGGTTTTGATGGCGTAGCTAGAATCAGATTCAGCCCACCACATTTCATGGCAAAAGGCTTCCTGGAAGGTCTGTTCTTCAAGAAGCATCTTTAAAGATGACTTTCTGCACCTGCCTATGGAGTTTATGGTTCAAGTCCCATATTAATTGGTTTAGTAGTTTGGGAGTTGCACTAGTTTCTTAGTTAAATCCAGATTTCAGCAGTTTCCTAATAGTACTATGTTTCTTATGCCATAGATAGAGTCGGTGAGAATTCTTAGATTTTACATTTTAACCAATAAATCTGGTATTTCGATTTGGATTGGTTTATATTAAATGTAGGGTTATTTTGAGTGGGCAGCATACATTTTTTCTATATACATTGGAGCATTTTCTGTAGTTAATAGTACATCAATTTCAGTCGATTTTTTTGTTTGCAAAGCATGGTTAAAAGTACTGGTACACCCAAATATGCCGGAAGGGGGGTGTATAACACTTTGAACCATGCACATCTTAATTTTTTTAGTTTTTTTTTAACTTCACAAGAAGTTTTTTTTATGTTATTTAATTGTTAAAAAAGATTTTTTAAAAATACCTTAAAAAAGGGGTATCAGTACCCCAAAAGATACAATACGATACGCCTGACCTGATACATATCGATATTTTGAACCTTGTTGCAAAGTTGAAAATTTTTGTTTTCTTTTTTTTTTTTTGAAAGATAATATAAAGTTCATTAAAAATAAAAAAGGAGAGATTACAATCTAGCAGGTGATGAGGCATTACCTGCAAATCATAAGGAAGCAAAAAGAAAAAACAAAGAGATCTGCTAGGGAGCAGAGTTACAGAATTACAAATATCTATCCAAGTTACAAAGATGGAATCCCAAGATATTTCCCAAATTATCCCCCAAATCCTCCCTAGAGGCATGTTTAAATTCTGGAGTTGCAAGAACCCAATCTGCTACCGAGTTGCTGACAGCTGCCACAATCTTGTCCAAATTCCAGTATTTTTCATCAAAAACTCTTCTATTTCTTTCTCTCCATATATTCCAACAAATTGCAAACAGTATACAGCTCCAAATCATTTTTGCTTTATTGCTCCCTCTTAATTTTGGCCATGAAGAGAAAACTCCTGCAGCAGTGCCTGGCTGAAAGTTTGAGAATCCAAACATAGAAGTAAATATCCTCCACAAGAATTCAGCAATCTTGCAAGAGGTAAAAAGATGACTGTCAGGTTCCTCATGTTCTTTGCAGGGGACACACATATTAGCCAAGCTGAAGACCCTGAATTTCAGATGGTCCATGGTCAGAATACTATCCATGGCAACCAGCYAGGCAAAAGCTTCAATCCTTGGGGGAACCGGATTTCTCCAAGCAGCAGCTACCTGATCTGAATCTGAAATATTTCTGATGAGATCCATGTAACATGATTTAACAGAGAACTTCCCATTTGAGCATTCTTTCCACCAGAATTCATCCCTTGACCGAGCTGAAATTTTCACTTTCTTTAACCTCTCCAAGAGGGAAATGCATTCCTCCAATTCTCTATCCAGTCTTCTTAACATTGGACACCAGACCAACTGTTCCCCCCTTCTCTCATAACATTGGCTTATGGTTATTTCAGCTTCAGATAACCTATACAGACTTAGACATAGCTCACACAATTTACCTGCCCCACACCAATCATCCTCCCAAAACCTGATTCTTGTGCCATCTCCAACTGAGAAGCTAGTCAGACCCCTGAAATCCTGATTGAATTTCATGATCCCCTTCCATACACTCACCCCATATGAAGACCTCACCTCCCTGGATTCCCACCCAAACCTCACCATCCCGTACTTACCCACCACCACTCTTTTCCATAATGAGTTTTCCTCCCTGTGCCAAATCTCCACAGCCACTTTCCAATCAATGCCTTGTTAAAAATCTTGGCTCTCCTAAAACCCAACCCACCCTTCTCCTTTGGTCTACAAACTTTCCCCCAGTTTACCAACTGAAACTTCTTTCCTTTTCCCTCCCCATGTACTCCTTCCCAAAGAAAATCCATTTGAATTTTTTCATTTCAGCCACTTGTCACGGAATCCTAAGTAAGGATAAGTAGTAAGTTGGTAGGCTTGAGAGAACACTCTTTATTAAGGTTATTCTTCCCTCCAAAGATAAGTATCAGCCTCTTCTCCACTCTTTCCACTATTGGTCTCCATAATGTACCTGATTTTGAGGATCCCCCAATCAGCATCCTTAAATATATGAAGGGGAGTTCTCCAATTTTACATTCAAAGGCTTCAGCGCATTCCACTAGAACCTCCCTTTCAACTCTCCCAACTCCAATCAACACACTCTTTGTTAGGTTCACCTTCAGCCCCATTAACAGCTCAAAGTTTCCAAAACTGCCCTCAGGTTTAAAACCTGCTCAAGTGAAGCATCCAAAAAAATCAAGGTATCATCTGCATATTGCAGATGAGAGAGAGATGCATGGTCCATCTCTGCCCACTTTGAAGCCTTCAATTAGACCCAACTGCCCTTTCCAATAATAGATTCAGTACTCCCGTAACCAAGACAAAGAAAATGGGAGATAGTGGGTTTCCTTGACTTAAGCCCCTTTATGCTTGGAAGAATTCCGAAGAGATACCATTAATAAGAATGGAATATAACACTGTAGATATGCATGCAAACATCTAGCTCCTCCACTTCTCTCCAAATCCCATCAGCGTTTGAATTTCTTCTAGAAATCCCCACTCCACATGGTTGTAGGCTTTCTCAATGTCAATCTTGCATACCAACCCAGCTCTTCCACTCCTTATTCTGGAATCTATACATTCACTTACTACTAAAACTCCACCCAAAATCTGTCTACCTTCCACAAAAGCCATCTGAGATTCCCCCACCACCTCATGAAGCACTTTCCTCAATCTTTTTGACAAAACCTTGGTTAATAATTTGTAAGTGCTGCTGATAAAACTAATTGGCCTGAAATCCTTCAGCTCTACTGTGCCATCCTTCTTTGGGATCAATGATATGAATGTAGCATTAGCCATTTTCTCCAAAGACTTTTCCCTATGTAACTCTTTGAACATCTGATTAAACTCGTTCTCTAGCATATTCTAGCATGCCTTTATAAACAAGAAATTAAATCCATCTGGACCCGAGCCCTTATCTCCATTTATTCCTTTCAAAGCCTCCTTAATTTCCCCAAATCGAAATCTCTCTCAAGCCAGATTGCTGAGACATCACTCAGCTGCTTGGGAGTCATCTCCCAAAGAGACATCCAGTTCCAAATTCTTGAAGAAAATAAATTCTTGTAAAAATCTACCACATTGCTTTGAATTTCATTCCAATCCTCCACCATCTCCTCCCACACCTGAATTGTAGAGATAAAATTCATCCTCCTTCTAGCATTAGCGTAGGCATGAAAGAAAGCAGTGTTTTTATCACCTGCTTTCAGCCACGTCAGTCTTGATTTCTTCTCCATTTCTCCTCTTCTCTATAAATTATTCTCTTTAATGCACAATCCAGCCTTTCCCTTTCAATCTCCTCTTCCCTAGAAACACTCTTTCCTCCTCCAACCTGTCCAAGAGAGCCATTTTTTCTAATATTTCCTTCCTTTTTCTTCTTGTATCCCCAAATACTGTTAAACTCCAGCCCTTGATTTCCCCTTTCAGCAATTGGAGCCTCCTGACCAGTCTGAAGACTGCAGACCCTTCACTTGTATCTCACCCCACTTCTCTTCTACCCACTCTAGGAAATTTGGGTGATCAAGCCACACGTTTTCAAACTTGAACGGTTTTGGACCAGACAACATTACAAATTGTCTAAGCATGATTGGCTTGTGATCAAACAAGAAAAAAGGTAAAGCTTCCTGGATCAAATCACCCACATGCTCCTCCCAATCTCTAGAATACAGCAACCTATCCAATCTTGCCGTGGCCATTTGACCAATTATATCTACATCCATTTAGAGGTGGATCAATTAAACCATTCCTTCTGATGAACTCACCAAATCTTCTCATTCCCACTCTTTCTCTTTCATCCCTCCCNTCTGACTGAATTGAAATCACCTCCTATACACCAAGGACCCCCCACTCCTATCCTACCCCTTCCAATTCCTTCCTCATCTCCACCCTTGCCCTTTCGTCATTAGGACCATAGACATTTGCGAGACCCCACTGCCAACCCCCTTCCACCATCTGAAAACAAATTGATATTAAATTTACTCCCCTCCTTTCTCCGATTTTCCTTAGATATCTTGGCTCCTAGGTGACAACTAAACCTCCCAATAAACCCATTGCATTCACCTCTGCCCATTCCCCACTATTGGCTCCCCAAAGTTCATTTTTTATGCCCAAGTCAAAAACCTCCAGCTTTGTTTCTTGCAATAATACTACCTCTAGAGCAATCTTTCTCAACATATTCCTAACTATAATAGCCCTTCTTCTTTCTTCTCTCAACCCCCGCACATTCCAGGAGACCAGTTTCATCTTTTGAAACTGTTCCCGATACCCTGCTTAAGCCTGCACCTTTTATTCCTCATCAACTAATCATCTCCCCTCCCTTCTCCTTCATCCCATGCCTCTCCCCCTTCACTTAAAACATTTCTTTTATTATGCTCTTCCCTTCTATTCTTCTCAAACTATTCAATGGTTCTCCTTACTACCCCTTCTCCTCCCAAAAAGAACAACCCAAGAGCTTTGCCTATCTCCACCTGTCTTTCCACCAAGCTGTTGATATCCACCCTCCCTCTCTCTGTGCTTGCTTCCCCTTTTTCTTTCTCTTTTTCTGCTTCTTCCGAATTTTTTCCTTCTCCCCCGGACCCCTCACCTCCCTCCTTCACGACTGACTTCACCCGCTTTCCACATTTTTCTCCTGTTATAAGTTCTGTTAGCGTCCCTCCCCCGTCACATAGCCATCACCATCCGGATCTCCCACTTTTAAGGGAGAAGAAGGAGAAGCAAGAATAGTAGGAGAAGGGAAAGAGTGGAGATATTGAGCGTCCGAACTTACCTCTTCGAAATGGATCTCAGTGGGAATCTTGTTTCTTACTTCCTCTAGTTCGCTAGAGCCCCCGGTATCCTCCTGCGAAATGGACTTCAGTGGGAATCTTGTTTTCATCTCTTTCCACTTCACTGCTTGTTAATTGCCTATCCTCAGAACTTGCAGCTCTTTGGAAAGGGGGGGAGAGTGTAAGAACTGATCTCTCGATCTTCTTCTGAGCAGGGAGTAGACCCTCATGCACCACCAACGTCTCTAAGTATGTAGCTGCCTCTCTTTGACCTACACCGGCAAGATGCCCTTTTAAGCTTTTTGTTTTCTTTATAGCTGATTGTTATTTGTTTATTGATTTTCTACCTGAATTCTCAAAGTTCAATTGCTAGTTATTACTTTCTCCTCTAATAGTTTGATGTTTGAGAATTTCTAATGCCTTTGGAGAGGCCACTTTGTGCAGAAAAGTGTCATAGCTTTGGTTGCAAGAGAAAAGTTAAGGAGCCTGGCAGTATAGACACACATTGAGAGAAATCAAGCCTTTAGTAAGGGAAAGGGTAGTATCAAACTATTAATCATATGGGTACACAGATCAGCAAATCATATGGCTGATACACTTGCTAAGCAGGGGGCTAATAGGGAACATATGTATTGGGGGATAAGAGATGAGAGTTGTTTGTAAATGTGGAAAGTAAAGTAAAAAGGGATTAGGTGGTGTATTACCAGCCTAATAAAATAAACATTTTGTACATAACATTAATAAAGTTACAGTTACCAATCAAAGGTGAAAAAAAAAGTGTCAGAGAATTGGTCTCTATCCACCTACCCCTCCCAAGATCCCATATAGCAGGACCATCATTGGATAATGACCCTTTAGTTGGATAGTCTTAAGAGTAGGCATCGGTCAAGGGCAGTTTAGTCCATTCATTTAGTTTTATATTAGTTCTTAATTTACTATTGTACCCAAGGTTAAGTTGCTGTCCCACACTTAATTGGGGCAGTAATGTCATTGTAACCCATTGGGAAAGGTAAATATAATATATCTTCCACCTGGGAGGGAGATACTTTTCTCTCCTCCCTTTTTCTTCCTTCTATTCTCTTCTCTCTCATTTCTACAGAGCTGAACTCTAACTCTAGACATAACTGAAGAGACAGGAAACAGTAACATCATTAATTTAAATTAATACAGTGTATTCACACGTTCAGATCCTGAAAATTAAGGAAATCTGACCCCCCCCAAATAATTACTATTACAATTCAGCCCAAAAGAGTTCACCCCTGAATAAGCAATCACAACATTAGCTAACTGTTTCATTAATACTCTTGAGCTCTGTGTTTGTAACCAAATCCATCTGGCCTTTTCCCATCATTAGTTCACACTTCCCCCAAGAAATGGCTGGCTTCAGTTTTCAACTATGCCACCTAGAGTTACTTTCTTAATCAACACCTGTCACTTGCTCAAAAGGAAGCATCTGATACAATTCTACAGATTCCCAAGTGTTTGTGTTATGTGCCTCAATAATGGGGAATTAGCCGCTCTTCTTATATATTTCCTGCCAACCAGAAGATTGTGGCATGTTTCTTAGTTTGGTAGGCCCATACCAAAGGATAAAACCAAGTAATTTCTACATGTTAAGGCAATAGAAGGGTCATAAACTTGGAATCAATAAGGAAGTCATACTTGATTTATATGGTTGGTTAGCCATCATCTATGTGATCATCTAGACTATCTAGAAAAAGGAAACAGGTGCATTGTTAACTAGGATAGCCCATTTGAATCTCTTAAGCACAGAGTTTTCTCTTCCAAGCTTGAGGATTATTGCCACTGGGAAATTCAGCAGAATCTCTAATGTAGGATGGGAAGGAGGCAATACTACTAGGATATAAATGGTTGGTAAAGAAGAGAAATGAAGGATCTGATTTATGAAAGCAACAGTTCTGGATCTGAGAATAGAGACAAGAAGAAAAAAGAAACATATGAATTCATAATAAAATAAAAGAAAGATAACATCTTTCAAAAGAAAAACAAGGAAAAGAAAATTTTAGAGAAAATTATTCCCAGCTCTTATATATGACAGACAGTCACCTTCATACAAAAAAAATTATTCCCATTTCTCAAATAACAAAATACTAAAGCAATATCATACTTTTCATGTAAAACCTGACCTTCCACAATTTGACAAAGCAATTGAAACAGCACTTAGAAGTTTGCTACCCTCAGGTGCATCAAGGACCACCCCACTGGCACTTAGAGGTGCAATCACCTGATGATACCAAAAAAAATAAAGTGTCAAGACATATTTTGGGTGAAGAAATAATAAGGAAGAAAATAATGAAGAAATTATACATGGATGGATTGATGGATAAAAACACTTAATAGGTAAAGCTAGTAAGAGTACAATAAAAAGCCGTTACATACCAGAAATGTCTTTACCCCAAAGGATAATTGCAGATCATGCAAATCATCATTCCAATCCACATCTTTGCCTGCATCCATCTCAAAACTCAAATGATAAAATGGAAAAGCCACAAGGTATCCAACCTAGATGGTGAAAAGTAAAAGCTTAAATCAACTTGAGGAAATACCATCACTACTGGTTTCAAAGAAGTATTCCATACAATAGCTCTTCATACCATACTTCAACTCAGACTTAACCTTATATAAGTTTTTTGGAGAGCCCAAGTTAATTGCACCTTTGTCCTACACCCATAAGAGTCAATAAAAGATATATATAAAAAAAAAAAAACAAAATGAATAAAAAAGTGCAAAATGATCATAATCTGACATAAATGAGAAGCACAAACCAAAACCATGGCATTGCTTGAAATTCTTTTTTTTTCTTTTTTGATAAGTGCTTGAAATTTATTAATTGCATACCGCATCTAACTAAGACATTATATGAACATGAACTAGACCATTAGAAGAATTTGAGATATCACAGGGTTTTTTAGAGAGAGAGGGTAATGTATTGTACTGATCTTCGAAAGGCAAAAAAAAACCTCTACAACACGTTGCTGTAAACAGGGAAGATATAAAGATATACACTCAGCTTTTTTCTGCAATGCATCTAGGGAGCAAATTGACAATTTAATGGCCATTCTTTGGTGGTTTGAAGTGGTTTCAGGGCTTCACTTGAATGTTCACAAAAGTGAACTGGTGGCATGGGAGAGGTTCAAGAGCTGCAATCTTGGGCTGATTCTTAGAGATTTAAAGTTAGTAAGTTCCCATTAAAGTAATTGGGAATGCCCCTAGGGGCTAAGTGCAATTCCAAGTCTATTTGGGATCCAATTTTGGAGAGGATTGAGAAGAGGTTGGCTAGATGGAAATCAAGGTACCTATCAGAGGTAAAGTCACTATAATCAAGAATGTCCTCTCATCCCTACCTGTTTTCTTGCTTTCCTTATATCCAATTCCAACTGAAGTTGCAAAGCAGATTGAAAGGAAAATAGGTGAGTTTTTGTGGATGGAGTGGAAGGAGAGCAAGAAAGTTCATTTAGTTAACTGGGGAAAGGTGTGTAAACGAAAAAAAAAAGAATGGATGGTTGGGAATTAGAAGAATTCGGGAAATGAATTCAGCCTTACTTGGCAAGTGGTTTTGGAGGTTTGGTAACCAAGGGAACTGCTTGTGGAGGAGAGTAATTGAAGCAAAATATGGTACAAGAAGTGAAGGTTGGGTCCCTAGTGATGCAAATCAGTCATATGGTTGTTCAGTTTGGAAGGGAATTGGAAAAAGCTATAATGCTTTCAGCAAGGAAATCAAATTTGTAGTGGGAAGGGGTACCAGAGTTAATTTCTGGTTGGATCGTTGGAGTGGTAACAATACGCTAAAGGATGATTTCCCAAAATTATTTGCAATCGCAACAAACAAGGAGGCAAAAGTAGCTGAATATGTCCAGTCTCCAAAATGGGATGCTTGTCCAGAATCCTCTTTTCAGAAGGGCTTTGAATGATTGGAGATCGAGACATTTATTAGGCTTCTTCAAAGGTTGTACAACACTCAAATCGACACTAATGCAGCAGACAAAAGGTTTTGGGTTGCAGATAGCAAAGGCCAGTTCTCGGTGAAATCTTTCTATGGTAAACTCGCCCAAGAGGAAAAAGATCTGGAATTCCTTGTGCATATAATATGGTGCAAACACATTCCATTGAAGGTCTCTTTTTTTTATTTGGGCTGCTTACCTGAATAAGATTCCTACTAGAGACAACCTGGTTAGGAGGGGTGTGCTGATTGATTCTAAAAGATATGTCTTGTGCAACAGTGATGATGAGACTGTTGACCACCTGTTACTGCATTGCAGCTTCACTCACAAAATATGGGTGAGGATTCTCAAAATTTTTGCAATCAGAAGTTGCTACCCAGAATCAATGGCTGATTTTGTCAACAACTGGAGGGTACAAGGTCTAAGCTAGAAAGGGAAAGTTCTATGGTATCTGATTCGAGGTGCTGTGTTATGGTCAATATGGCAAGAAAGAAACTCAAGGATATTTCAAAACAAAAGCTGTCAAGAAGAGGAAGTGTGGCAGAAGATTGTGGGGATGGGGAAGCTGTTTTCCTGGTCTTCAATTCAGCTAAAAGTTGACAGTTCCTTTTACAGTTCTCTTTTTGACTTTAAAAGCATGTTTGTATCACCCAATGGTTTTGTAGTTTGAGTGCTATCTTTGTTCCTGAGTTGTACAGCCTCTGGTTGTACTTTTCCTATTAATGAATTGATACTTCTCAAAAAAACTAAGATATACACTTTACGCTACGGAACCAGTCCATGACTGTTAACAAAAAGGTTCTGAAAATAAAAAAAAGAAAAAAAAAATAAGTATTGGCATTCCTTCCACCAAATAGCTTGTGGCTTGCCAACCAAGAGAACACCCTTCCCCATAATTCTGCTAGTTACTACTTCTTTTGTACTTGCTTTATTTTCAAAATTCCTAGCATACCTTTTCTTCCAAAATGACCAAAACACAGCTGCAGGTACCATCCCCATGCTATTTTCCCATGTTTACTCAAACCCCTCAAATTCCAGCCCTTCAACAACTCTGCAACTGAAGCAGGGAAGCAGCCTCTAACTGCAAAAGGCCCTGTCATTTTTGTCTATACATTGGGAGAATTTACAATGTAGGAACAGCTGGTTGACAGTCTCCAAGTTTTCATCACAGAGAGCACAATTTGTGTTAGCAACCTGCATCCCCCTTCTCACCAAGCTGTCTCTAGTCAAAATTTTGTCCAAGGTGGAATACCAAGCAAAAAAAACTACTTTAAAGGGAATGACTGCACACCACATTCTTACTACGAAAATTGCATTCCATCAGTCTCACCAAGCTACTGTAGAAAGATATAACAGAGAATTGACCATATTTCTCCCAGGGCCCATGTTATTTTGTCTTCTCTGCCAATTACCATCTGAGTACTGTAAAGCTTCTGTAGCAAGACTTTTTTGAAGAGTAAAAGGAAAATATTCATTAATCAAAAAAAGGAGATAAAATCTGAGAAGTGACAAGATGGCACCTCACCAATATAAAACTGCTGAAAACTAAAGAACAGAAAACTGTTCAGTATTGCAAACTTGTATTTCAAGGACATTCCAAAAGTTTTCCCCCATATCTGATCTGCTAATTTGATCAAATTCTGGAAGCACCAATACCCAGCCCACCACCAGTTTCCCAACCAGGGCCATAAGCACCTCAATATTTTTAGACTTATCTTCAAACAATCTTCTGTCTCTTTCATTCCAAAGGACCCAGCATAAATAGGATGCATCTCCAAACTATCCTTGCTTTCCTGCTACCACTGAGTCTTGGCCAGGAGGAGAATAGTTCTGTTAATGATCTTGGCTGAAACAATCTGACCCCAAATAGGAAGGAATAGAATTTCCAAATAAACTTTGCAATCTTACATGAGTAAAATTGATCACAGACTGACTCTTCATCCGAACAGCATAAATCACAGTAACTTGCCAAATTGAATCCTCTATTTTTCAAGTGATCTGAAGTTAGGATACTGTTCAAAGCAACTAACCATGTGAAAGCTTCCACTCTAGGAGGAACAGGGTTCCCCCAAACTCCTTCCACTTGATCTGAATCCAGATGGTCTTTAACCGAAGCCAGATAGAAAGATTTCACAGTAAACTTCCTGTTCCTACTTTCTTTCCACCATAGCCCATCCCTTGAAAAAGTTGTAACCTTTATATGTTGAAGGTTTTCCAGCAGTAATATGCACTCTTCTAATTCCTGATCCAACAAGGGTCTTCCAAATTTAGGACACCACACAACCTGATCACCCTCATCTCAAAACATTGATCAAGCTTAACTTGATGATCAGTCAACCCGTATAGCTTTGGACACATCTCACAGAACTTCCCTATTCCACACCACTCATCCTTCCAAAATCTTACTCTCAACCCATCTCCCACCTTGAAACTGACTAAAGCTTTGAAGTCTTGGTTGAACCGCATTATCCCTTTCTAGACACTCACCCCATAAGAAGTTGAATCCTCCCTCGACTCTGTTATGGACACACCACCCGGCAGCGCACTGCGGCACAATCATAGGCAGCAGCACACACAGCGGGCCGCCCAGCAGCATGCACCGCCCGGCCGCGCTGCACAGCAGGCTGGCAGCGCGCGGCACATACCGCCCGACAGAGCAGTGCACGCACACGCCCGGCACCGCACGGCAGCAGCACCATGGCG